TGTGCAGTTACCAACCCAGTCCTCAGAAGTATAAAGTACTAAATATTTTGAAAGAGCAGAACAGGGCTGCTAGCTCATCACATTACCTACCCACTGAACAACATTGTACTTAGTTTCTTTTCTTTATCTAGCTACCAGAAAAATCAAGGCATGTTACTGCATCACTATGCCTTATTATTTTCATTTGTCCAGCTTCTGTTAGAGACACCAACTGTCATGAAATCCTCTCTTTAGTGTGCCTAAATTCTTCAATTATATTGAAGAAGCAGCATTGGCTTGAGAATGGCCAGCTAGAAGAACACAGGCACCAAAACCCAGACTAAGGTTTAAGCAGTTAAGTCCCACGAAGAGGGAGACCTGAACACTCCTGTGAATCTTTCCTGCACCCAAACCTGGCTGGTATTTACGTTTTCATCACTTTATTTCCCTAAGTGCCCAGAGTCTGGATAACGCACATGGTTGCTGACACTCTGGCCCAGCGCAGTGCCTTAGTATTTTGATCCCACCTCAGACATTTAAATTTAACGTATGAAGAGCATTGAGGGTCAGCATACAAGAGTGCCATGCATTTTGCTCAGGGACTGCAGAGCCCAGAAGCCAAATGCTCTCCCTCCGAGGCGTGCTTGGTGCATTGCAGAGCCACACTGGCTCTAGCTCCTTTCTTTTCAGCCCTGTCAAGGCTTCATTCTTACCTGTCTACACATCTTCCGTGCATCTATCTGTGGGCCTACAATTCAGGATTTTGAAGTCAAAAGGTGGCACAACATTTACAAATTAGCGGTGCAGAGCTTGCTTACTTGCTGTTACATCACAGTAAGCACCAACGATTCAATCCTCCTCTCGAAATTCAGTAAAAGGCCACTCAAGAACAACTTTCTTACGACTTACAGGTAAAATTAACAAAAACCTCTGAGCTATTTCTATCAAAAGACAACTAAAAACTAAAGAAACTCTGTGCAAACTTCAAGCTTCTCTGGAAGCCAAGTTATTATAAGTCTAACATGGTAAATTAACTCCCCAACAAGACAGAAGAGGAATTTAAAGAGCTCATCGCTATTTGCTCTTATTCACTCTTCAATGAGCAACTCATTACATCATCAGAATTTTTATACATGGATCTATCGCCCTCTCCTTGCTCTATTCTGTTTTGGTGAATGTTATGAAGGCACCAATAAGGTGGCAACTCTTTCTGACACACTGGGATGCACAGGACTAAATTGTAAAGAAAGTATACAGGAACTAACTTTTTAAAAAAGTGTAGAACCTAGTAATTAATGCACAATCGCTTGTAAGTTAATGTCATTCCTCTCTGAGCTAAGACTTCCAAAGCTTTCTTTTCCTTTTTTGAATTTTAAAACCAGATATTTGTCACTCAGAACTATGCTACAAGAGCTAAAGGTCTTAAATTAAGATTTATAATTTAGAAATGAAGTTATGTTTTTTTGCAGATAAAAGTATAAATACGTAACTCCATCCATAGCTTCCCAGTGAAAAGAGTTAGCTTTTGCTATCAAGCTATTTTAAAAAGCGAGACCATCTGCATTACTCTTGAGCATTCTAAGGAACTACTATATAATTCAGGATAAGCGTATTCATTCTTCGCAGTTGTACCCAGAAACGATAACCAAGGCTCTACAAAGCACCACAGACTGAGTGTATTTTGTAGATCTGCAGTCTAAATGAAGACATGATAAAATGGAAGGAAACACAAAATAGACAGATTATGCATCCAAGGTTACCAGCAGGCTAGCAAGAGGGGAACCAAGTTAGATGAGGAAGAGACAGTGTCTTCGAGTTCTTAAGTAATATGCACAGCATTCCTTGCAAGATGATGGAAGAGTCCACAGAGTTGGCATTTCAAAGGTTACTTCCAAATCAAGGAGACACTTGCCCCTAAGTAAGACCTAGAAATATGAAAATATACACAATTTCTCTAAATATACCGAAAGACTGTAATAAAGTAAGGCTTTTCAAGGATGTCTCATGCTTGTGTGCGACTGCTGAATCTTTTAAGGAAGCATTTGATTTTAAAAGTTTCAGAAATTAAATGTTTTGTAAATTTCTTTTTGGTAGGTCAGTTTCCTGCCATAAGGTAGTTGAGAGTAAAACCTCCAAACACCTACGCGGATAAAGTTCTTGATATGCAGCTCTGTTTTGCATTCAGTGTTGTGAGGACCTTGCCACTGCAATAATTAATAAACTCCCCACATACTTCTGCATACAAATCGCCACCTTGAATACTTTGCTGGCTGACATAATATTCGCTGTGAGGGCATGGAATGAAAACTTCTACAGTCAGTTGCTCACCTCTGAGAAGCAGCTGACTGATAATGCAGAAAAATAGTTAGGAGGCTGCACGCAATACTGCAGATCTCTTGCTGAACCAGGAGATTAAAAAAATCAATAGTGAATCAATAGTGAACAGGCAACAGATGGTATTGCCCTGAGACCGTGCACATTAACATCTACTGTCAGTCGCCAAAAGAGTAGCTGTAGTGGCTTGGCGTCTATGGGCTGCAGCTTCTACCAAGAACAGAAACCAGAGATACCTTTCCTCATCACTGTTTGCATTATTACACTTGCTTACTAACACAAAATCAGTGTTTCTTCTGGGTTTTGTTTGTTTGTTTGTTTTTGTTATGAATTTCTCATGCATAGCTGGAATGTTGCTTTTTAGTTTCTCTCTAAATTCTAGAGAAATTAAGTTACACAGAATCCTGTCTGTATGTGTCATATTGTCTCATGTTGTAGTCATAAAGGCACACACGCCCCAAGAAAAATGCCGTGTTCTATCAAACAGGAAAACGGTCACTTAAGATGGATTCTGAGGACAGCAGAACAGGTTATTTATTGAGCTTTCAGCTTTGTTTCTGTTTGTTTGAAATTGCTCTTTAAGAACAAAGAATGTCGGGTGAGTAGGTCCCTAGGCAAAATGCGAATATTAGAGCATTAGAAGAAAGGGATTACATATTTAAGTGTCTAAGCATGCAATTAAAATGACAATCTTTTGCCTTTTCAATAGCTTTACATAATATAGTGATTTTGAGAATTACAAAACTTTACAGCAATTAGTACATTCCGTTTACAAAGGGATCGCCAACGTGCTATCTTTTCCTCTTCGACCCTCTAACTAAATAAATGCATTACCTTTGTGATACCCGAAATAGCACTTCTTCAACTTGAAAGACTCACATAGCAGTTTGGAAGAAACTATATGGGGATTGTTAACTAGGCAACGCAATTTGCTAAATTGCAAGGCAAATAGTTTGCTGAGCTTCACACTATCAAGCTTACGAAATATTAACACACATTGTCAGAAGCAGTATATGCTTCCATTCAATGAACGTCAGTGGGTACGCACAGACACACACAGCAGCCTCGCTGCCAAAAGAGCTTCTATCCCATGTAGAAAGAGGGGGAGCAGAACGACTGTCTGTGGTTACCACGTCTTCCTCAGAGCTCTGATGTCCAGATGCTGGCCCGATTTCATCTGGACAGATTACAGAGCAGAAAGCAAGCGCTGCAGAAGCAGCGATACACTGACAGTAAGGTCACAGACAGGAAGAACGTGAGAGCTAGTGCCGCATGGGGAGAGGAGGAAGCATCACGCTAACTCTGCTGTGTATTCACGATGCATTTGAAGAGTTCTGAACAAAACCCAAGAGTAGTAGATATTCTGACAGGAATATAAGGACGTTTTACTTCACAGACAGACACAGTTTAGAGGTGGACCGGGCAGTTAGGTTAACGGTTGGACTTGATGATCTCAGGAGGCCTTTTCCAACCTTAATGATTCTATAATTTAGCTTTTTTTTAAAAAAATACTTGCTTAAATTATCCAAAGTTGACGAACTAATGCAAGTGTATACTTCTGGAACTAAAAAACCTAACCCAGACTACAAGTACTACAGTAAACCACCACATGCTGGACTGGAAGTGTAAAAGTATGTTCTAACATAACAAAGCAGTATCATGCACCTATATACCATAGAAAAGGTGAAACTCCAAAATCTACTTTCCAGTTTTCTTTTTAAATCTATACTTTAAATCTACACATATGTTACTGAAAGCATGCAAAACTAAAGTATCCGTATAGGTAGGTGGAAATACCATTTACCAAAGCTAGTAAACAGGAAGACATAACCTACATAAGAAAAATCACACAAACAGCCAAGGAAAAGATGCAAGTGCTGCCCAAGATTCTGGTATCAAATAATTTGCTTGCACAAAATCCTTATTCTAAAGCACGTTTAACTGATACAGAGCAAGTGTGGCAATAATACAGTGTCAGGTGTGCAAACTATGCAAAGACACGCACGTCCCACGAGCAGGCACTGCCAAACTGTAACGGGCGAGTAATGCTTAACTTCTAAACTTGCAACCTTTGAGGAACTTGAAGCCAGATTTGAAACAATGCAGAAGTATTCTCTGCCGAAATATTTACCTCAATCCATTAGCAATAACTTTGGATGAAAAATGGGAACTAAAACAAGGATATGAAAGCTCAGTTTACATTTCAACAGGACAGAACTGGGAAAGTTCTGTTGTCTATTACGTGGGTTAAAAAAAAAAAAAAAAGAGAAAAAGCATTCAATGATGCTACTTTACTTTACACCAACATAAAACACAGTAAAATTTGTTAAACTAACCTCCACTTAGAATCTCTATTTCCCTCTGCTCTTATCTTCAAATCAGTTTATTTAGCTCCAGGCTATTCTTCTCGATCCGTAACACCAACAGTGATTAAAGCAACAAGCAGATAAATATGATGGATTTTTTTTAACCTTTGTAGTGCATTTACAGTTAAAAATACGTGTAGAAATCAAGACGCTACGGCTCTGACTTAAAAACAAAGAATTCTCAGGCTATTATCTATCTTCATTTGGGGTGGTAAGGAACATCTGTTAAATCACTGTGATTCTCAGAGAAAGTGTCTATTTTTTTTAAAACAAACAAACAAATATTCTGTTACTCCTCCCCGGGTCTCTAGAGCTACTTACAGTTCCAGAATAAGAATGACATCTGTTTTGTTCTCATAAACATCATGCAGCGTGATCACATTAGGATGTCGAATCTCTTTTAGTATGCCGACTTCTCGCTCGATATCTTCCCGGCTCACTCCACGCCGGCTGGATTTCGTTCTCCTTTTCTTGATGAATTTTGCTGCAAACTGCTGACCAGTGCTTTTCTCACGGCATTTTTTCACTACAGCAAACTGCCCACTAAAAAAAAAAATAAAAAAAAAAAAGGGAAAGAATGAAGATCAGTGTTTGGTTCAAAGAAGTTTGGAGATAAGAGTAAGCTGTACCTCCAAATTACAAACTCGACTAAAGCACATTACTGCTTTTTATGCAATCTAGAATAATACCCGAAAAAAAAAACTTAGAGGACGCAGAAAAGGTAAGTTAAGATACCGCTTTTACATCACACAAACGTACATACATACACATTTTGGCATATCTAAGTGAAAGATAACACTTGTGTAGATCATTGGATTTTTGACAAATATGTGCATCAGGGATTACTGGGGAAAAGTATCGGTTTCCGTATTTCTCCTTCCACATGCACGTTGAGGACAATTTTTTTTGTTCTGCAAGAGAGACTGTCCTTATTTTCTTCCAATCTATATGATCTGTCAATATTCACTTTATTCCATCCTCAAGTTTTATTTTTAAAAGTTTTTAAAACAATATTGGGTTTCAGGACACTGCTTTGGTTTTCAGTTTTAAAAGCACTGACTAAATACAGTAATATCAAGAATTACAGTTGTATCATCTTATTAAGTAGGAAGAGTCTGAAGGTGAGAAAAGTACCAAGGCACTGAGGAACAAAAACCTGTGATTGTGTTACAAACCAGAAGTAACTCCAGGAAGCCGATGACTCCAGCATGTTATCATTAACGTATAAGCCTGTTGCTGCTAGATGTACACACTGATTCAGATCAGAAATCTCCAGGAATCTAATGCTAAGCTAAAGCAAGAACAGGATTTCTGATATTGCTGAGTTTTCCTTTTAAATTTTCTTAATCTCTCGCTGAGGATTCTCTAGCAATTCTGTTCTTCATTTATTTCACTCACTGTATGAAAAATTCGCAGAGTTACAGAATGTACCAGTGAGAAAGTTTTTTGAAGTTAGCGTACCCAGTTAACTGAAGAAGTGGTCCCCTAATGTAGACTTAGAGCGGTGGTTAAATCAAAGCTAAGCCTAGTAGGCTTGACTGCCTACACAGTGATGTAACACAGAGGCATATATAATTCCACCCAGTACCTGGAAGAGGAGCTAATCTGTACTAGTGGTTAATTAATTACAACTGCCAGAGAGGTCTTTAGGAAGACGCATCACCCACAAAAAGGGCATCACATAATGACAAAGTGCCAAGTGGGGAATCACTTAAAGCTACACATCTCATGCATGAACTCAATGCACAATACTATCTTATTACTGGAGAATGAACATGTGCCAAATACGTTGACAAAGTAATTAAGCCATTAAGGAATGCATGACAGATAGAAAATAGAAGATGATAACTAATCAGCAACAGTGTTATGCAATAAACAAAGATAATAAAATGCCGTAAGAGAAAATCACACTCATGATTTTTTAATTTAGAGGGCTTATCAGCTAAGAACACTTTATGCTGCTGCGTCACCACTGCCACCATTACTATGCTGACCCTGTACAGAACCCTGAGTGACAAATTGCCTTGAACTGGGACACAGAGTTGGGCAAGGCTAAATGACTGTCACCTGCAGAGGGCAGGGCAGAGACAGATCCTCTCCTATGAACTCCTAGAAAGGGACTCCAGAGTAGCCACCACCAGCTGGGAAGCCTTTGAATGCAGCCACGGGCAGTGAGAGAAGTAAACTCCGAGAGAAGCAGTCAACAGTCTTTTAAGTTTTGAGGTTTGGTTTTATTTCAATGTTACGATCACCAATCAAGTTTCATTCTTCATTACTTCATGAAATCAGTTTATGAACTTGTGAGATGACTTTATGTTGCATGGAAAAAAAAAAATCCTTAAATTCCCCTCCCCTCACCCAAATCTGCACAAAGTTGTCAAGGGCCAGGTTTACCAGCAGGGCCCAACACGTTATTATTACAAACTGCAGTGGACAGAGCAGTGATTTAGACCACACGATATCCTCTCCCCCATCACACGTAGGCTGGAAGACCTGATTCACCTGCCTACGCTTGGTCAGCTAGTGCTATCTGAGATGCTCTTGGACATCTAAGACATTCTATATGGGACTGGCAGAGAAGGCACAGGATCTCTGGGAGATGTGTGTCATCCTCAACTGGCAGCAGAGGGCTAGGCAAGGTCCCCCAAGGTACATCAACCCTCTCTGCTCGGTTCAGTTCAACTCCACAACAACTCTTCCTGCAACAGTGGCTCTGGGTTTGATCTCCAAGGTCTGAGCAATCTTGCGCTGCGGGACAGCCAGACAGTGTCGACCATGCCCTTAGGCATTCGCACTGCTCCAGAGAAGTGCAAGCAGAGTTTTCTGGCCCTTGCTTACGGGGGGGTGGGGTGGAAAGCAGTGATTCTTTCACTCTCTCCCCCACAACATGCACATCTTCACAGAGATATTCAGCTTTATTTAAAAAGCAATCAGCTTTTCAGAAAGTTCACAGTTCCAGAGAAACTGCAAAGTCAGGCAGTAGACCAATGTAGGCATTACCACAACTCTGAACAGCTACTCAAGCTCACAGACCAGAAGGAAGTAAAAAGCCACTGCTTGCCTTTTGGCTACCTGGCAGGCTTTCAGGCTAGAAGCCTGAACTGCCTGGTAGAGGAAGAAAAATATTTCCGCTTATGATTCATTTTATAGGCTTGAATGCTACATGGCTAACCATTTTCTTATTGATGCTCACCTCGTAAGGTTGGCAAAAGCTACTGCTTCATTAAAACAAACAAACAAACAAAAAACAAACCAAACAACCAAAACCACCTCACAGCACAAACCAAACAAACTAAACAACAACAAAACCCAAAAGACTAAAAAACCAAAATTACTGATAACATTAGCTCTGGAGAGGCTGGGACTGAAAACTAACTCTGAAGTACATGGACATAAAATACATTTTGATATCCAAGAAGGTTTAATTATAAAAGTTGACTGGGATTAAGAGTTATCTATGTTTCACTGGCAAAACATGTATCATTGACTTTTGGAAAATTCTGGTATTTTAATTTCTGATCTTTAGCCCATGACAGAATTTTTGCTTTAGTGCTTCTTCGTTGAAGAGAGTAATGAATTTTAGGCTTCTTTCTAAATAAAAAGACATTCTGCAAGTGTTTTTAAACATGCCCTGGCTGTGGACCTGTAAGCTAAAGAAAGATGATTTTTCCACAGTATTTTTCATATTTGAATCACACCATTCCCCAAAGTCAGTTCATGCTTCCGATGCCCTTAAGGCTAAGGCTGTTTAATCTTATTTTGGCAATGGGTCAACTGTGATGTTACAGCATGAGGCTGACCTACTAAAACAAAGGGGACCAGGGAAGACAAGTAGATCTCCTCTCTTCTTCTGAGCTACGTAGCCTTATTTTTTCACTCTTTTACTTTTTTCTCCAACTACAACCACCTGTTTGAAGGATGTCCTGATCTATCACAATTCAATATAGAAGTGTTATCAGAAGACCAATACATTGTTTAAAACCACATGACTTTACAGATTGGTCCCATCCATGGTTTATTAGGATGTCAGGCTCCAGAAATCTTTGACGTTGCTGAAGACTGCAAGTTAGCAACGAACAGGTATCTAGAGTAAGTGCCAGTTATACACCAATAACCTTCTTATTGTTGCTGTTGTGGTATTCAGCACGTAACCCGACAATTAGTTGTTTGTTATTAAACGCTGTACATGCAGATCACACTTAAGCTGCAATCAAAGGGGCTATTTCATGCCTGGGACCTGCAAGCCACACCATTTTACAACTCTCTCTAAACTCCTGTTTTAAAAGCAGAGGAGAGGTGTAAATCAAAGGTTATTTACTGGGCTTTAACCTGTAGAACCGCAGCGACAAGCTGTTATAAGTCAGCTCTGTATGGGCTAACACATTTATATCCAGTAATATTCTCCCACAGGTCCTACAGTTTCAGATCCAGCATTCATTCATACAGCATCTTCAAAGCCAGAAAAGCCCTTTAGTTTTTTAAGTTCCCTTGCTTTTTCACAAACTCACACTTAATAAAGTATCTGACATAATTTTTTTCCCACACGGCAGAATCAGGTTAAACAGTGAAGCAGGATGACAGCTTGACGTGAGAACAAATACTTCTGCTAATAACAGTAATTTGTTTCGTGATCTTGTAATTCTTACTCAACCAGCAGTTAATTACTATCCTAAATCTACTCTTTTTGGGACACTTGGCATGATATCTCCACATCCAGTGATTTTTCAGACTCACTTCAGAACAAGTACTTATCCCATTACCTAACCATTACATTTCTCCATCTTTTTTACATCATAAGATGACACACATTGCCCTTTACAATACATATATATATATACACACACACATGCAGAAGGTATGCAGAGAGGTGGTGGAATCACCAATAAAGCATCTATACTCAACCCTTTATTGGCCCTGGCTTAGTTGGATCACAAAACAACTACTCATTAGCATGAATTATGGACAGTTTTAACTACAAAGACGGACGTTTTAGAATAAAAGGGAAAAAACAAAAAAAGTCCTTTCATTTTTTCCAGAAGGATGATCACAGTGACTAGGGGTGCCAGACACCCTGTATTCCTCTTCACTCCTAGCCTTCTGCACCAGCTCTTCTCAGCCAGCTCCTTCTGCGAGGAGTGAAATTTCTGCCCCAAGAACCCTGCAAAACAGGTCCAAGCTGGGCACAGAAATGCTCAAGTAACCCTCAGGGACCAATTTTCTGCTATTTATTGCCACAAGAGGGCAAGCATGGGGAATTCTCTGTGCCACCTTCTGAGGACTGCATTCAAAAGATGAAGTTTAACGGGAGCAGGGGATAGGAATAAGGAAAGGGCGTTATGCTGACATCAGAGTAATAAGATGTCTTGGTAAGTTTCTGACACTTAGGCACTTTTTTCTTTTATTTTAAAAGTTCAGTATTCGCTACTCAACTCTGCAAATATATTAAGATCCAACTGCTTTTACTATTTGTTTGACTGCTTTCCTTTTAAAAATTGTACTAATCCAACAGAAAGAGACTTACGTAGTACTATCAGATTAGCCCATGAAAGAAACTGCAACTCAACCATACAGCCATTTGTTTTCCCCAACAGAAGTCAGCAGCAGGCTGCGGACACTTTTGTCTTTCCTTGGAGATGTGCAGCGGGAAAGGCTGACTGAGTAGGTGATTTCCACCCTCAGCAGTGTCTCAGCATCACTCAGCTCCATCGGTCACCACCGCCACCCACATACCTCTGCCTGTCATCAAGGGCATCTGAGCTGCTTCTGCTAATAAGGTGAACTCTCACAAAGCTCTCCGGTGAGGCAGCAGTACCCAAATGAGTCTTTTCCAAAGGAAAGGAAGACTTCGCCATGAACTGTGAAGGGTTATAGCTACATTAAGTCCCTCTCCACCTTCTAAATCAAGCAAATTGACATTTTCAGTTCAGCTGCAATGCCAAATTGGAGGCAACCTCCTTCCCCTCCTTCCTCTCTCTCTCTTTATGGTCTTGCAAAAGACGGTAAACTTTACGTGGCACTTGAGAGCCTCTCTTGCGTGTATAATGCTTACAGTACCTCAGCTGAGAGTCACCAGCACAAAGCATTACACTTTACCCCAATTTACACATTACCCCATTGAGGAAGTAAGCTATTATCAGCATTAGCAGGGTGGGGTAAGCCATGGTTAATAGGTTAATAGAGCACTCCAAGCAGATGCGACTGGGAAGCGGTAGCGTTTCATGTGTACCACGCTCAAAAGACAACCTGTTTCAGGGAATAGCAGCTTTAGTGCTAGCTACCAGCATTACATCTGCAAGGAAAAATCTTCATTGATCTTGACAGATGAAGAAACTGGGATACTCTAAAACAAGTTATCTTGCCAGGGAGAGTTTCTCCAAGTGTGCATGCACATCTTTTCTCTTCCCCGCAGAGCGCATGCTAGGGAACATAAGGGCCCTTTCCCCAAATCACGTTTTTAATTTTGCAGCCAACCAAAATGGACAGGCAGATAGGGAATGAATGCAGGACTGACTGATAAGGTCGTACCATATTTGTTTAGGCTCTGAAAGTCGGAAATACTTGTACAGTGCTCACAATTTTTGTGCTCCTTCCCTTGCCCTGCAATGTTTAATTCTCAAGCACAGATGCTGAGAGAATGCCAGAAGTATTGTTTAGCTGCAAGCCCTCCAAGTACTGGAGAGCTTTGAAAAGAAATGGCAAACAACATGAAGATGAGAACTTAGCAGGACAGCTGTATCTGAAGGGTACATGAATCCTGAATAGATGATTAGGCTATTTATCTTTTTTTTTTTTTTTTTTAAAACAGCTCTGACAAAAGAGTTTTCAATGTGAGTAACAAGTTTACACTTCAAGTGCTGACGCAGACGCACATCTCCGAGTTGACAGCGGAGCTGTCTGCTTTGTGTCCATAGTGGAGAAATGCATTTTCACCATCCACATTGAGTCTAAGTGGCAGCACTCAAAGTACTTGACCACTCTGTAACACGAAGACACAGCACCTAATTACTCAGTAGAAGAAAGAGCCACAAGCACCTGAAGCCTATTGATCACCGTAAACATGTTTCAGCTGCACACCAACACTTGTTATAGCAAAGGGCACACTGGCCATAGCACGACAGAAGTAGTAACTTTGGGAGACACGTGAAAAAAGCAGCACTGAAGAGAAGAGGTGAAAGAGGAGTTAAATGTGATACAGCATTTAAGCTAAACAGAAAACACTTCTCAAATGCTATATGAGTGACTAAGCAGGAGAATAAGCCAGCTGAAATCTGATGGTGCACCACAGAGATCATTGTTAGGACCGGTCTTTTCCAACTACTACTAGTATAGAAAAGCAAATACAAGGACTTAATTAAACTTGACGACACTATTAATAGTACAGTGCTCAAGTACGAAGGCAGAAGAGTAACACGTTATGCAATTGTGCAGTACATTTCCAACATATACGGAGTTTAAATCAAGTTGTAATTTATACCCATCAGTAAAATGCATGCTGATACACTTTCCTTAGAAATATTTTGGAAAAGCAGCAAAGCCAAAAAGAGCAAGGACAGCAAGGAAGGGGAAGCAGAGGGGAAAATCAGACAGATTTATAAAGCAAAGACAAACAAATCTATCAACAACTGCTATTTCCTCACTTCAGAGTTCCCCGTTACGCACAGATGTGTTGATATACTCAGGAACTCCAGAAGTGTCTCTTAATTTGCCTTTCTTAATTTCTGACTTCGAGTATCTTTTGGTGTCAAATTACCCAGTTTCAGAAAGACCCTGATACCAATATAGTGACTCAATGTATGTGATGATAGAAGTTTATCTTTCAGCATGAACACATCAAATACTTCATTTAAAGCTTTTTTACCAAAACATCCAAAGTATAAAGAGGACTTCTTCCCTCGTGTAATATTTTAAGGAAAAAAAACCCCAACTTTCAAAATAATCTGTATTGTTACTCTGTGATATACTTCCAGTTAGAAAAAAATATTGCATGATCAGATACCACTTTTTGTCTGTATAAATCAACTGAAACCTCTGTTGTACTACCCATTCAAATACAGTTCAAATAATGTAACTGCAAACTTATTAATGAAAGTAATACAAAGAGAAACACTGATAGTATCTATAACAGATGGCATCACAAGATGAAGCAGTCAGAATTTGAGGATTCAAACACTGTAAGACGGTGGGCTAAGTTAACTTCTTAAGCGTATCCATAGACTAAACTACCTACCAGAACTTTGTACAACTGAAGTCATGTTGCACGATGGACCAGGAAGTGAGGAATCATGGGAGTAGGGAATTTGTCCAATCTCTTCTTTTCTCCAGCATTTTATAAGCTCATGCCTCATATTTTTGTGGTTTGGTCATTTTAAAAGCAACTCATCATGCATTTCAGCTATGTATTTATCTCCTGCAGAAATCCTCTTTTGCTGTCAGCCTCGGCACAGTACATGATGTCTCTGTTGCTCTTCTGCTTTCTGCAATTTCATTAGGCTGCTAATGGACTTCTCTAGATGTTGACTAAGCTTACAGAAAAGTGATTTTTCAGCCTCTTCATTGTCGTCTTAGAAACTCAAGAGAAGCCACTAGTCCCAGGGGAGGACATAACAGCATGATAAAGAACTATATCTATGACAGAGCACAAGAAAGATACCACGTTGTTTACTGTTTATTATTATTTCTTAGGTGTTCTATATATTGCTCTGAGTCATGTATGAAAAATTTTAGAGGAATAATTACATGGGATGATGGACTAAAAGAGAGAGATACGGAAATACAGAAGGCTACTTCCTTGTGTACATGTATGCACGCGTATCCAGTACTGAATGGAACACCATGATACAAAGTGTCTTCATGATACCAGTTTATAATAGTATTACATCACTTTCTGGGCCACAGATTTAAAAAAGCAAGTGATCAAGGGTGTGACTGGCATTGCCAAGGCTCACTACACAGACAGTTACCCACGTACAGATTCATTCAAGATCGCATCTGACTGAACACAGCTCGCCAGAGTAGTAATTACTGTTAAGCACAAGCAGATTGATCAGAGGGCTCTGGCTGGCTCAGAGAAAATGAGATGAAGAGAGCGAGCTAGATTTAGAATATTTTTGGTATACTGTACCCACATGTTGTGAGTAAGACCAAGCACACCAGTACACCTTCCCACAGCCCTTTCCCAACACCCTCACCTAAAGCACAGGGGCTGATCTGCTTGGCATGTTCTCATCCTACCCGGAGAACTGTGACAAAGTTTCTCCAACATAGTTAATGCCAAACGAGTAACTGTTGGAGCGTGCATGCGTGCACACACCTCTGCATACATTTGCTGAGCTGAAAAGCACTTATTAACTACTACAGTCCATCACACAGAGATGACAGAAAGTGGATCCTACATATCAGCAATTTGACAGTAAACTTCAACTGCAGATGACTGAAGAATTGTTCACATTTAAGAACAAGAAGTTCAGAAAAAATGTAATCGCACGATGATCAGGCTTAATTTTGTGATATGGAACAAAGGATGAGTTAAAAAAAAAACAAAACAAAACAAACAACCCAGATC